ACAAAGTATTAACTTAAGGGGGCTGAATAATTTTGCACGCCCAATTTTTCAGTTTTTTATTTGTTAAAAAAGTTTGAAATATCCAATAAATTTCGTTCCACTTCATGATTGTGTCCCACTTGTTGTTGATTCTTCACAAAAAATTACAGTTTTATATCTTTGTTTGAAGCCTGAAATGTGGCAAAAGGTCGCAAAGTTCAAGGGGGCCGAATACTTTCGCAAGGCACTGTACCTGTGATCAGACTTTCAGTAAACTTTCTTTTGATTTTAAACAGTCCTCTCCTGTCTTCACTTCTCGTGCTTCCAACAAAAAAATTGGGTTAATTTCTAACAGTCCTATTGGACTATTTTCACATCTTAATAAGTTCAGCATACCTTCAGCTAGGAAAACCATTCAGGTATCAAAATGTTCAGCTCTTCAAGACCATTCCTACTTTATTGCATCTCATCCTTCAGATTATTCAACAAAGAACTTCACCCATTTCTTCTCAACTGTTTCAACAAAGTATTTAAGCCATTTCTTTTCATCTTTCAGCTGTTTCAGAAATTAATTTCAGGCATTTTCAGGACAATCTTTCAGCTTTTATTAGCATCCACACACATTTTTGACCGGTAATGCATTTCTCTAGTTCTCCTCTGTTCTCTCACCCCAGGGCACTCCATCTGGGGCCTCTGGTTCCTCTGTACTCCAGTCCCTTGGCCACTTACTTGAGGGTGTTTTCACCCTGAATTCTTCCTCCAGAGCCCTTCCACCCACCTGATGGCTGCTACCAATTTGTTCACATGTTGAAAATTCAGAAAGATTGTCACATACCCTCTGTTTCCTCTTAATTTACTAAAGTAGCACTATAGGGCAGACATAGAGACATCACTAAAGTGGCTCAAAACACAAATCTAGCCCAGCAATGATTATCAATCGTAAAATTGTGGATGTTTTCCATCATCATTTCATCTATACAGCTGCATAATGTGAAAATCTGCATTATGAGTTGAGAGTTGGTACTGGCCCCTAATACACACTAGCTACACTTTACACTCAATACACTAAAGTGAGATAAATTCTCAATTAGGTGGAATATTGATTAAAAATGCACTCATTAGGGAAATATATTTCATTTAAAGAAATATTGAGCTTAGAATAATCAACAGACCATGTGGTTTATACCTTCTATAGAACATCTCTCCTCCATGTATTGCCGGAGCTGTGTAGAAGCTCAGACTTCAGTGAATAACACAGCACAGTCCTGACTGTAAGCTGTCTCTGACCTAGCTGGAGTTGTTCAGTGCCATTGTTTCTTCTGTGTTCTGTTATAGTACCTCCCAGAGGCAGCGAGTGAACAGTGACAGCGCTGCTGCCGAAGCTTTAACAGACAATACAGCACCTGTGGCCAGCAAACTCAGCAGGTTAGTACACACTCTGTAGTTTGTGTTATCTTATGTGGTAAAGCTATTGATAATACTCAGTGATCAGTGGTTTGCCACGGGATGATGATTAATGATCAGTGAAATAAGATACAACATAAGTACAACAATGCCAGCACAAAGGGTGATTTGAGTTGACATGACTGAACAAAGCATGTTTAATTGCATAAAAAATAGACTTAAGAAGGATGAGACTAATATTACAGAGCTGGAACCAGATCTACATTTATAAAAGCTTCATCCTCTGGACACTTTATTGCATGACACTGACGCCTCCTTGCATAGAGAATGAACACACTGCAACATCAAATTAGAAGTAAATTTTGCCTGTTCCTGTACTTTTGATGTTTATCACTATGCTGTTTCTGGTCTGTGTTTTGCAGGGCGGGTTGCATCCATCGTTCCAACACCACTGCTGCTGAGTTGAAACCAAGACAGAGGTCAGTACACTTACAAACACATATGTGTACTGTTATTTACAGTGTACTGGGCAAAAGTCTTAGGCCATCATTTGTTTTGCTGTTTTAGCCAGTTGTAATAATAATTTATCTTATTTCTCAGTCTCTTTATTAAGATATAACCAGAAAATACAGGAAAGTTGTACACATTAAAAACACAACATTTTCAGGATCAACTGGTATCTACAATCCAAAGTTACTATTTAGTGTGACCTACCTTTGCATGTAGCACAGCTTGAAACCATTACAGAGCCTCCACCATGTGTCACTGAAGACTGCAAGCACTCTCCAAATCTTCTCACATACTGTCGACAATTAACCCTGAAACTTTCAAGCTTTGATTCATCACTCCATAAGACTTGTTTCCACTGAGTGAACGATGTGGGAGAAAGAGAGGGACGGCAGGACACACAACCAGAGTCAGCCTGTAGGAGCTGTTTCCTCATCTTAATAACCATGTTAGCTAATGTTGCACGAGGCTAGCGAATGCTAAGTAGCAGGAAAAACTAGCATTTGATACAAGCAGCTCAATCCTAGTTGAACCTACTCCTGTGATATCCTTGCTTTCCTTATTAGCTGCCTTTTGTTAATTTCCACTCTCTTCTATAGGCCATTGAGAAACAGAATACCCCATGCAAAGTTAGATGGAACAGTTGGTATCTGGTAACTGTGGTGGGCTTGTCATGGCAGAATTTTAATTCCAGTCCAGGCCTGATTTTCCCATGCTAAAATTTTTTTGAAAAAGTTGCTTTCTCATTATTGACCTATACTTCTGCAGCATTGCCACTGATGGTTGTTCTTTCATCACTAACCTCCAATATAACATTCCTTACAACATACAGTACAAATATCAACAAACAAGTTGTGTGTGAAAGTTGCCACAAGAGCTGTGATGTAGTTTGCCATAGGCTGTTGTCAGTGGTATGATGATGAGTATGTGTTCATCATTAACAAGCCCTACACAAAGTTCTTGTGATATTGTCAGTTTGTGTCAAGTTTCTAGGTCACAACTTTGTGCTCATTAAAACATGCCGGTTCAGTACTCTGCTCATTAAAGCACTATTGCACTGACAGATATGGTCCTGTATGCATGTATTAGTGTAGCTTTCGTGTCTAGTTATATAAATGTTATTTTCACACTTTTCAGCAGCTTGAGATTGACCAGTTCAGGTTAATTTAATTTTTTTATTTAACCAATTAAAAAAACATACAGTTGAAAAGAAATCAAGAATTAAAGAAAGAATAGTTTCTTCTGGACTTGGGTATACAGTACAAACTCACAAAACATGGCAAAACATAAAACAGCTCTTAACCAGAAAATGATGAGAGGTTTGTTCTTTTCAGAACTTACTGTATTAACAATTTTAATTTCTCACCAGATATTCTAATATACCAGTTGTAATTGTATGCTACACTACAGCAAAGATTAAATTGTATATACCTGCAAATAATAGTTTATTTATATACATTTTATTGTAGAACTGTTTTCTTGACTACCCATTCTCTCTGTCATCTAAACCAGTGGTTCTGTGGGACCCACTTTCCAAGCCACTTATCAAGTTGTGACCCACCAGTACAAGATTTCATTAAATGTATTAAATTATAAAGCACCTTTTTAAAACATAGTCAGTACAGCCTTTGTGTCAGATTCTCCGGTGTCTGCATTGAGGAAATGTTACTCAAAAATAAAAACAACCACCACAACAGCTGCATAACACAACATAAATACAACAGTCGAATAACACAACAGGGTGCTGTATATGTATAAAACTGAATGCAGAAAACTGCAAACACAATGAGAATATTTTATAGTCTCTTTTCACTTAACATGTAAGCAAGATTTTATTTTACAGTGAAGTAATGAGATAGCTGTAGTTGTCCTTTAGTTTTGACAAGAGTTTCAATGTCTGGGCTGATAGTAGACAGAGCTACTCTCAGCTCATGTTCAGTGTCCAACCTGTTCCTTTGCTTTGACTTGAGTTGTACCAAAGTGGAGAAGCCACTTTAACACAGATAGATTATTGTGAATGGTAGGATTGCTTTGACTGCCAATGTAGCGTGGGAGGGATACTCAGACTTACCTCAGCGTCTTCTGGCAAGTCCTCAGGTCCCAAAGTAGTCTTTGAAAGTATTTGAATGGTTTGTCTTTGTACGCGGCGTGTTTTGTTTCTAAATGGCGTTTTAACTTGGATGGCTTCATACTTGTGCCAGTACCTCACTGCATGTCACACATTGAGGTTTATGTCCATTTTTATCATGTAAGTAAATCCATAGTTTTACATACTGTAGTTCGAATCAGATTTTCACTTCGCCATCTTCTCACCAACTGGACCTCTCTTCAGTGAGTGTGCACTGTCACCTCCCAATCAAGGCTTGTCATGGCATCGTTAGGCCTCTGCACATCACGCACACCTTTCAAAATAAAAGCCCCACATTAGATACTACCTATGCATTTGAATCCACAATATATCGCTCTCAAAAACTTTTTTTTTCCACAATGTCTCTCCTAACCCACCCCGTGAGAAATACTGATCTAAACCATCAGTCCCTTCAGTTACTTTATTCCCTTTTTTACAGGTTGCACATCCCAGTAATTCCAAAGTTGTCTCATTGACATTTGTTAGCTGGCTTGTTAATGTTACCCACTCATACTGCTGCATTTAGAAGTCACTAAGCTTATTGTCAGGCACTATTTGTACTAGTCACTGGGGCTAAGGTTTGGCTAGCTGTTGGTGGTCAGTAAATACCTCCTTGATTTTGATTTCTAAATGTGTTAAGTGCAGAAGATATAAGATTAGTGTGGAGGCCTGCTGTTTAAATGGCACCTCTGATGGAGTTTGGCTGTAAGCTTGTGCAGACTTTCATCAGACTTCATAATTAACTTCATAAATGGCTGTAATTATTGACAGTTGACTTGAAATGAATGAGAGAGACAGAGAAAGCAAGCAAGCAAGCAAAATTTATTTATATAGCACCTTTCTAAACCTATGTTACAAGGTGCTTTCCAGTAAAACATAAAAATAAAAATAAATAAAACCAGATAAAACACATCTACACAATAAAATAACAGCAAAAATGCATAATCAATACAAATACATCAATCAAGTAAAGTTGTTAAAAGCCAGTGAATACAAATGCGTTTTGAGAAGTGATCTACAAACGGTCAGGTTCGGAGCAGATCTAATATCCTGTGGCAGACCATTCCACAGTATAGGACCCCGAACTGAAAAAGCTCGGTCTCCCCAATGTTTCCGTCTGAACTTCGGTACTTCCAGGAACAACTGGTTAGAAGACCTAAGTGTCCTTTCTGGAGCATAAAAATGCACAAGCTCAGACCATGTACAGCCTTATAGACAAACATCAACAATTTAAAATCAATCCTACAACAAACAGGAAAGCGCAAAGGAGTTCAGTTCAAGACTGTGCCATCTATAGGTGCAGCCAGGGTATTTACCAATCGCTGTAACTATACCGTCCTGAGTTGATGGTACAGAGAAATATCCATTCAGGTGTTTTGATTCATTTGGCGATGCTGCCAATCACACAAACTTTCATCCCAACACTGATTGTTGATTGAGAGATCATTCCTATTGCCAGCTTATGTTTCATTTTGAAACCAAGTCACCTCTCTGTTACTTTTCAGCGCATATAATTCACCATTGTTTTTACATTTGTTTGGCTTAGGCGCCACGCAAAAACACTTAGGGACTGTGCCTAAGCCTTTCTATTATTATGGTAGCCCCCCTCACCAGGAGGGTGAGGGAGGACTGAGGTTGGACTCAAGTTTGCAGACCAAGGTGCTAGGGGGAAAAACATGACGGTTGCAGGTAAAAGAACACAAAGTATCAAAAGAACATAACTAAGTTCAGGTACATAAAGGTCCGGGTAGAGTAGAGATGGTGGAGGGAATCAAAACAGGTGAACCATGGGACTGACGGCAAAAACCAAAGGGCAGGAAGACGAAGACAGACAGGTGAAATAACGAAAAGACCAGTGTACACAATGCAATCCACAGCACAGGAACTGTCACCGTGGAAAACAAAAGCACGTATATTGGTTGTTGCTAACCGCATAAATATGTGGATAAGGTCAAGCCAAAACGCACAGGAACTGTCAGCATAGCATTCTAATCACACGTACATAACGCAGTACTGAGTTAATGTTCCGGTGACGACAGAGCGTCTGCCAGAGGTATAAATAAGGAGGAAAACAATCAGCGGGATGCACCCCAGCTGTGTGCACCGACAAACAAATCACTAATTATGAATGCAACACAGCCGCGGGTGGAAAAAAAAGGGGAGAGAAAAAGGCAAGGGAGAGAAGGCAGCCGCTGAGCGGCTGACATCTATGGTAGGGAAAACCCTGACTGTATGTTTTGGTCCAATTTTGAAAGCTCAATATACTAAACATACAAAATGAAAGATTAAGACAATGTGTATGTGTGTGATTTTGAGGATAAGAATTAGAGATACGCTGTGTCTGTACAAGTAGAGTGAAGAGAAACACTAAGTGTTTGAACAGCCTTTCTATGTTGGTCTCTCTCAGGCAGGAAAAGAGCCAAAAGACGAGTGAAACAGAAAGGCAGAGACAAAAAGGTAATACACACTGCACACCCTCAAGCACACACACATTTCTTTCAGTACTTGTGAGCACCCTATAATGCTTTCCTTAAACATAACCAAACATAACTAAAGGAGGACCAGCTAAAATGTCCCCACAATGTAGACACTCAACTCAAAACTCAAATTGGTCCTCACAAAGATAGCTGTCAAGCTGACGTGTGTGTGTGTGTGTGTGTCTGAGTAGCGTCTGTGTCTCCAGAAAGACCGCTTTCTTCTTTGATGCATATTTTCTCAACCGCTCTCTCCTCACACTCACTTTGCATCCTGGGAAGTTGGGTGGGAGTCCAAGTTTTTGTTTTTGTCAGCTTCATTGTGGTTTAATTCTCTTTGGGAACTTGCATGCTTTCACTTCATGATCCGGATCAGTTGTGTTTCTTTCTTGGGGGTGGTTTGTTTTATTTCAGTTTTGGCATATTGCATTTTGAGCTGGACACAACCCAGTTCTTAATGTCACTGTGGAAATAAGCTCCCCTCTACAACAACAGCAGTTAAACAGTGCCATTATTAATTTTGAGAGGAACATGCAGGAGCCAGCTGACAGTGTAACGTTTTGACTGTTTGCAACACACCTTTAAAAGATAATTGTGGTTTATTACAACTTACAACAGATTTCCTGTATGTATTGTAGTTCACCCTCCAGGAGATGTACTATAACACCTGGGGAAATCATTTTGCATTTCCCTTGGAATACCAAGTATTTTGAGTATCTCTGAGTATTTCTTGTGAGCCACACATGAGCCATTCTTTGGAGGCAATCAAAAAAGATGCTCTGTCAAAACAGCCTATGCTGCAGCAAAAGTTAAGTTAGGATTAAAGGATAGGTTCATTTTTCTTAGGTATATTCTAACTTCCTATAATAATTTTGGTTAGAAGAGAGCCTTTCTCAGTGTGTAGATAGTTGAGTTGAAGCTAGAAGTCCCACCAGTCTATGTAGCCTGTTTGAGTGGAGATCTCTGTCCAGGTGGCAAACTACCAGGATGAAGAGTGTTCCTCCACCACACAAGGTAGCTGTGGTACACAGAGAAAGCCTGTTCTAAATTGACTGTAAATTTGGGCGCTTTCCATTTGATTTGTCAAGCCCAGACTGCAGAAGCCTCATATTAGCTTACTGAAATAACTGAGGAGGTGCTGTTTCCGAAGCAGCCCTAGTGTCAGCCAATCAGAAAAACTCTGCACTTACCTTACCCGAATGCTTCTTGACAAAGATATAGACAGCATTTTTGCTTCATTTGAATAATTAGTTTTGGAAAGAAGCAGATTTATTTAAGAAACCATCTTAAGTTCCGTCTCTATTTTTTGTCTAATATGCATGCATTTTCTGTTTGTAACACAGACGCTCATTCTCTCTCATTTATCCCAACATAGCCAGCTCCCATAAGGGTCAGACAGGTTGACTGCATCAAACTGACAAGCTCCATGGTGCAAGTGACGTGAGAGTTAGAGAGAGTGAGAAAGAGAGGGAACGATGTGTCAAACTTCAATCTGTGAGAGACGGCAAGCATGAGGCAGGTCAATGCATAGTCCCTGTGGTTTCATAAATCTCCCCTTCTTCTCTCCTCTCATGTCTTAAGACTGTCTCTCATTTCCCTGGTTTCCCTCTCTGGGATAAATGATTTAATTCTTATTTTCAGAGTGTGTGTTGGGTTTTGTGGTGTATGTGTGTTGTTTGCAGCCACAAAAGCTCTTAAGTCTGCTCTCTCTCTCTCTTTCTCTCTGTCTCCCCTCTCTTCAGTTGCTCTCTCTCTCACACACACACTAAGCCAAACACAACTGGATTAGGACTCAGCTATTTAGAGAGAAAGAGAGAGTGAGAGCTAGTATTGAGGTCAATCTAATAAACATTCTTCTCCTATCTCAGCCTGGCTTCAGATATACATGCAGCATATGTTTCAGCCAGTAATCAATGAGGTGAACATACTGTATGTTTGGTTTTGATGAGGATGACCAAGACAGAATTATGATGTTGCTTTTACTGGCTTTGTTTAATTTCTGTTTCCATGTATTTCATTATAGCTCCATAGTTACTGATGGTGCTTTACTAAAATGTATTATTATTTAGAGGTGTTTTTAATATTCTGACCCCCAGTGTACTTAAATATGAAGGACAAAAAGTCTAGAACCATTAATTTACAAGTTTCAACAGCAAAAACAGAACATTTTGAACTTCGCTAAAGTCAAATTTATGTCTGAGCTGTTGTGTCGAATTACAATAGATTGTACAGGGTTTCCTTGTAAATTGGAAGTGGTGATTCATTTCTGAGGCTGTAGTTTGTTGAATGAGCTTGTCTCTTTTTCCCATGCCATTCAGTGTTTTACAGCACACCTTTTTTAATCTAGTTTGATAATGCCATCAGGCCTTCAATAATGCTGTTTTATGAATGCAGCTTCATGCACACGTATGGGACCCATGCTGCCAACCACCATTTATTCAGAAATGTGAGGAAATGAAGTCAACACAATTATGTGGAGCTGTAATCACAAATGCCAAGTGTCATTTACAATGGCATTCATAGATGCCCGCTGGTGATACTAAACTATATTAAAGTACTCAATGGCAGAAAAGGGGGGGGACATCAATTTGGGTTTTGATAGATCAAACAATACAAATTGAATCCTGCAAAATGATTATACAGTTGAATCAACCCCTCTGAACACTGACGAAATGTGAACACTGCAGCCTTCACTACATGAAAGGTACAGTTCTTCAGTTTTGGGTGTATTTATGCCTCTTAATTCTGTTGTACCAATACTTGGTTTCAAATGTTATGCCTTAGTTGGTCATAATTCAGTTGTATGCCCTTAAATTACATCTTCATTTAGATCATTACATTGACTTTGAATCATCTGAACTACTCCTTTCTAATAGTCTCTGTCTCTCTCTCTCATGCCAGATATGTTGATTGAGTGTGTGAAAAACAAGGACGTGAAGAAAGTAAGTAAACTTTGAGGAACTGGTGGGAACAAATGTTGATGTTGCATCTGCATGTATGATAATGTGGTTCAGTTTAGCCTAGAGCAGTCAATAAATAGCCTAATATAGTTTTAAGGGAAAAGATCTTTCTCTTAAAATTTGAAATTGCATCTTGTTTTTTATTAAAAACCCCATTTAATTCCTATTTCACTAAAAGCTGCAGGAGCTGCACCAGAAGGGCGCTGACCTCACAGTGCTTGACCAATCGGGCTGCAGCTTGCTGCACCACGCTGTCAGTACAGGAAGTAAAGAGATGGTCCGGTACATTCTTGACAATGGTAACTGTTGCCAACCTATTCTATTATGAATAGCAATTTATTGCATAACCAAATGTTGTAGTGACATAGCTGCAGGTGAAATTTAAAGAAATTCTAACATATTCTGGTGACCCCTAACTTCCACAGTCTTGTTTTTTACTGCACTGTTTTTGCTGTTTAGAGAGAATATGAAGTTGTCATGCCATGTTGAATTTTGGGTAAATGTGCTATTTTGGGGAGGGCACATTCATTATCTGTCATAGAGATATAGACTGCATACAGTAGCAGATGCTTTAACTACATCCAAACGTCCACTTTAGTGTTCTCTGGAAGAACTACACAGTTCCTGCTGCCTCAAAAAAGCTCAGAACATCATTAAGGACATTTCACACCCTGGACGTTAACTCTTTGAACTGCTGGCGTCAGGTAGATGGTTCAGAGTAATCAAATCAAGGACTGCTAGATTTAGGAACAATTTTTACCCAACAGCTGTTACCACACTCAATGCTGCTAAAATATAATATGCCTGTGTGGGCATGTGTGTGTGGGATCTATTTGTTTATTTTATTTTTTTTAGCTGCTATGTTTTTATATGCTTTTATTTGATATACAGTATTTTATTTATTTATTTATTTATATTGTTGTACTGACTGGATGTCACTTTAATTTTTGTTGTACTTGTTACAATGACAATAAAGATGATCGATCTATCTATCTATCTTCAGTTTGAGCACAGACAGGACAGAAATTGATTCATCTGCAGTGTTTGTGTTATCTGCCAATAGCTGCTGGCTAGTATTAGCTCCTGAACTGAGAGCTGAGATCAAGGTGCAGAGTCATTTTTCAGTCTGTTGCTCTTGTAAAGAGGATCTCTCGGTCTGCTAACTTCTAGCGGACCTAGAGATCCAATCAACTGTTCGATTAGCTTGCTGATGCTGCTAATCACACAAATGTTCATCCAAACACTCATTATTGATTGACAGGTCATTCCCGTTGCCAGCTTACTTTTCACTTTGAGATCAAGTCACCTCTCTGTTATTTTTCAGCACATTTAACTCACCATTGTTTTTACAGTCATTCTGATATGTCCCCTTTTTACATTTATTCTGACATTTCACCCTTTTGAAATTCATTTGGCTTAGATGCTCCACAAAAACACTCAGCAATAACTGGTCTGGTCTGATGTCTGTCTCCAGTAATCTGCTTTCATTTGTTTATTTTCCAGTTCCAAGTTACCTGCTTGATGTCACAGAAAGTCTACAGTAAGTACAGACATGGTCATTATATAATCTAAACCATTCACAGTTTAATTAGATTAATTATGAAGAGATTGACCGTGCTGTGATAATAATTATATTCTATGGATATAACTGTGCTGTAGCTGAGAAAATGTTGCAAAATGCTAAACCATCCTGTGGGTGTAGCACCAGCTTTGATAGTGTTCCACTGGGTCCTGGTCAATCTGTACATCTGTGCTGGGCATCCTAGCAAGTGTACCATATTTTAAGGGAATAAATATCAGAAAGAAAAACAAACCAGTAGGGTGCCTGATCATCAATGGTGCTTGACACCCAGAAGACATAAGATGTTGTTTTCTCACTCTCACTCTCTGTCTCTGTACACTGGACCAGTGGGGAGACGGTTCTTCATCGAGCTGCATCTCAGTGTCACAGGACCATCTGTCACTATCTGGTAGAGGCAGGAGCCTCACTCATGAAAACAGACATACAGGTGTGTATTTCTGTAGAGTCCAATATTTACAGTCCACCAGGAGTACTTGTTACACATTAAGCTAACTTTAAATACAGTGGCAAGAAAAGGCAAGCAAACTCTTTACCATATGAGTTACTTGCATTTAATCAGGGGAAGCGCTGAAACCATGCTCAGTCACAGAAAACGTGTTGCCAGGTTAGTGACCTTCTTTCTAGATTTAGCAACTTTTGAGACCCCTCTAGAGACATCTTTTCAGTAATGACTAGTGACAAATCTAGCCACTTTTTGGATCCAATCCAACAGCTACTTTCTCTAGAGGAGAGTCACGAGGTCAGCCTGTGAGATTTATTTACTGTATATAGTAATGTCCTTCTCAGCTTCTAATTTGATAGATATACTCTTGGAGTATGATTCTCACTGACTATTCCCTGAGTGCCACCAGCTCTCAATAACTTTGTAACAGTGCCTTTGTACAGTATGTCTCTTGTATCTAGCTAAATATAAATAAATAAGATTGTTCATTAATATATGTAAGTCCAGTTAAATGTACTTGAATAAAGTCAGACTGCCCTGCACTAGATAATCTAATCCATACTCAAAACAACTTCGACTAGATTTTACACCTACTGTCAAGATTCTTACTTTGACCTAGTTAAGAGTTTTTGCAGTTTTAAGTTACAATCATGAACAATCAATCTATTTTAGCTAATAACACAGCACATTGTACTGTTCTTGTCCATAATGAATAAATCATTAAAATATTCAAAGTGTAGGTTGGAAAAACATCTGCTGATGTGAACTGTGCCTCACAAAAATGAGAACTCAGAAGACTTATGATCAGGAATTATTGATTTGTGTAAAGCTTGAAAGGGCTACAAAGTCATCTCATAGAGTTTAGATATTCATCAGCCCTCAGTTACACAAACTGTCTATAAATGGAGATGATTTGGTACTGTGGATACTCTTGCTAGAAGTGGGCATCTAACTAAGATGACTCCAAAGACATAACAAAGAATGTTCAATGAGGTATTAAATAAGCCCAGAATAACAGCTAAAGGCTTATCATCGGAACTGGTTAACTGCATGGAAAGTGGGCGGATTTGGTGACCTGAAACTGGCACCTGGAAGTGGATCTCTGCTTTTGGCACATTATATAGTTTAGCGAACACATCCTCTGCACTCACAGGTACGGATGGATTATGGCATGGGCCCAGGGGCCCAAGACTTTATGCCCCCTGGGCCTGTGCCTCTCTTTGGAGTGAGTGCTAACATTTCTTTTTGGTATGTCAATCAAGATACAAACCACAAAGAGACGCACGTCTGTGCCCAGGGGCCCATTTGTCTCTTAATCTGTCCATGCTCACAGGAATGGTTTGCAGCCAAGTGTAATTCTGCTGTGGTGTAAATTAGCACCATGATGTTTTCAGTCATTGTACTTGGCTAGAAAACAGTAGATCACTCAGTTCAAGTTGGAAGTGAATTGCTGCCCCAGGTGAAAGAGTTGTTTTTGTTGATAGTCTAGGAGTAGGTGCCCACTGAAGGTTCTGCTGCACTGGTTTCACAACTCAGCTGTGGTGATGTGCTGCTTGGCAAAAATCACAGCATGGAAAAGAAGACTTTAGATATAGTATGTTCATGTAAAGCTTGGCTTATCTGGAGAAGTATGCCGCTGTATGTGTGTGTATATATGCAATGCGTATTCTTTCATTTTTGTTCAGTTTTGCATGGAGGTTTCAACCATTTAGAAAACGCTCCTTACTGTGTGGACTCAGCAGCGACCTAGATATGGGGGGACACTGTGATTTTGACATTCACTCTGAAGTACTGTTTCAACTCCAAATCTCTCTGCACTCACCACTTAGGGTCTCTCTCTCTCTCTCTGTCTAGATGGTTAATGTAAAGTGGAGGCTTTAAGAGCCATTGTGTTACATGCTAGCTTCTGCCTTTTGCTCTCCCAGTTCATCTCTCTCACTGTCTCTCCCTGGGAATGTTTCCCAATCTGGTAGAACCCCAGAGACACACACATTGGACTCAACTAATTGGTATGTTATAAACTCTGGAAGTGATTCATTGGCCCCTCCTTCATTAATAAACAACCACTCAGTGTCCATATTGTGTTGTGCATGTGTCTCCACTCAAGAACATGTTTGTTTCGTTTCAAATTGAGTTGTTTTTCATGATGTCATTTTTGTCAGTTGGAGATGGTGCCGCTTTAAAGGCATCAGCATTTGTCAGTTGTAGAGAAATGTGAAGTGGAAAACTCATCGACACAGACTGGTCCGTGAACTCACTATCACACACCGTTTAGACACCACAGCTACTGACAGGTACCATTCGTGAGTCTTTCCAGTTCAGAAGTTGGTCAGTGTGGGAATAAGACTGTAGAAAAATCATGTTTTGTTTTAGTTTCTCAGCACAGTGCAATTTGAGTGCTCATTTCGATGCGAAATTGTTACATAAATTTAGTCCCAACAAATAAAATAAATCATGATGAACAGTAAAACTATGTTGAACTTGACCATAAAACAAGGATGCTGCTGTCCTGTCTGACCTCACCCTGCTGAGCTCTCCAGTGGTGGCCATGTCTCATCTTGTTCCAGTGCTTGTGGTTTGGCTGGAAAGATTACCTGTACACTCCCTGTCTTTATTATTCGCTGATTTAAATCCCTTCATCACCTCCCTTTATAATTATTTTTACACTTTTTATTTACTTTTTATTTTACTTTTATTACTCCCCCTTCCTCCTTTTTTCATATATGTACCATACTGCATAGAGTTGAACACACCCCACACTATACAGTACACCCTCACACACAAACCAAATGTAAAACCCTGTTTCTTTTGTAAACGTCCTTTTGTAAATCTGTTGTCTTGTCTTCCATGTTCTGTCCTCTGTCCTGTTTTGTGTTGCAGTAAATAAAAAATGTAATAAGTAATGTAACCATTTTAATTTCTTCATCAAAGTAAAGTAAGTTATTGCTTTTTTGATTACTTTTCTAAAAAAAATGTTTTAAACTGGTCAATAAAGCTGAAATGTCCTAACTTAAAAAAATATAGTGGCCTTAATACTCTACTGTAGAAATGAATAGAATACAACAGTCTGTAATTCTTTGTCTCTTTATCAGGGTGACACCCCAAAGAACAGGGCTGAGAAGTCTCATGATGCTGAACTGGCAGCCTATCTGGAGAATAGGCAGCATTACCAGATGATACAGAGGGAGGACCAGGAGACAGCTGTGTGAAAAAGATGAACAGGACATGGATAAAGAAACCTCTGTCTTCTCATCAACGATGAGACTGACCACAGCTCATTGATGCTTGTGTGACGGAAGGACTGGTACACAGATTCCAGTTTAAAGCTGCCATTCCCTGAAACAGATTAAGGATGAAGTTGTGCCAAATCTGATATCTGAAAATGCAGTTAATATTTATGGTAGTGATTATAATGATAGCAACTATGATGATAAAGACCATTACACTGAGGGAGTCAATTTATATTAAAGAGTGCAAAAATATGAGATGTTTATTAAGGCATTCCTTTTCATTTTAAGTAGCTCAGTAATGAAAAGTGTTTGTGAAGTCATTTTTCTGACTTTGAATAGCATTTTGTAGTCAACATTCTTGTTCTTCAAAACTCATTCCTATCAAACAACTTCAAAGAATGCCTTTTTTTTGATAATACAATGTTTTGTGGGGTTGAATTGTCTCAGTATCAGACTACAATAGTTTGAAAAAACTTTTTGAAATTAAACATACAACAATGGAGATGCCAAAATATACCAGTCAGTGTGCATGGTGTTGACGTGTAGATGGTTAGATGAAAGTTTGTTGAATGCCCAATGAGAAAGAAACTGAAAGAAAGGTTGAGTTGTTGAAACCATTAGGATTCAACCTCTGGTGATGATGAATATCCTCAGCTAATTTAATGGGAATTAGATCATTGGTGTCTGAAATATCTTGTGGCCCAAATTGTTTAAAACAGCATCAGTATCAGGTTTCATGGCAATCAAGTACTTGTCAAGAAATCTTGTTTGGACCAAAGTGTTGGACTGACCAAAAAAGCTATTGACAGTTGCCATCCGTGAGTTTGATAACTGGTTTATTGGTTATTTCACTGAACCTGCTTTGCTGCTTTAAAATGTTTTGCTTGGTCTCACCACACCCATGCATTATAATCAATGTATTGTGCACACTGTATTTTGTTGACTTATATCAACATATTGTCAAGGTAATTATTTATACAGATTAATCAAAATGGATTGTTTTGTGTCTGTACTGATTGAATGCCTGCTGTGATTTTAAAATAAAACAGTATATACAGTACTGCAGTGTTAAATAGCAGCAACCCAAATCAAATTGTTGTTAAGTTCACTGGTTATGTTTTGAAACTGTAACATGAACAGTGTTGAGGTTAAACACTCAGGGCATGAGGAACATTTGGATTTCAGGGGAACAAAAATTAAACATTAAGCTAAAACTTCACTTTCAATTGCTACGGAAGAGTTTGAGGGCCACTATAAGAACATATTCGAGTTCTGAGTTTTTTTCATAATTCTGTCTTTAAATTCCAAATTTTGACTTTAATCTCAAGGTGTCTGAAATCGCCTAGGTAAATTTTTTGCAACCATTCCACCATCTAGTAAGCACAATGTCGGACATGTTACTATGCGGCCATCTTGCCACCGACTGACCTGGATGTTTACATGTGACAATACGAGTTGCTTGTTTTTCATTCATTTATAATAGTAGTAGCATAGCTGCTTGCTTACCAGTGTTATAAAGGGTAAAATTTATGGTGACAGAGGACCTGTTTAATTTGTGTGGGAATTGATCATAAGTTTGTTTCTTTTCTTTAATTTTGAGTTCTTTGTGTTTGTTAAGTTCCATTTTGGCTCTTATGTTTGAATGTATGCCTCTAGGTCTGTTATTTCTTTCAGTATGTGAGGGAATCGTCAGCTGTCTGGGATGTTGTTAGATGGATTATTCTCTCTCTCTCTCATTTTCTATACCGCTTAGCCTCAAATGGGGTTGCGGTGGGGGGGCTGGAGCGAAAGGCAGGATACACCCTGATTAGGTTGCCGGTCCATCGCAGGGCTAGATGGATTATTTAGTATTAATAATTAGGTTAAAATTTTTAGGGAAAAAACAAACAACAACAAAAGATTACAGTATTAGGTCTCGGTGACAGGACATCACCATGTCCACCACTAAGTAGAGCTAGCTAGCTGCCATGTTAGCAGGTTATGACATCTCTGAAAACACTGGAGGAAATTTCAAAATTTGCAATACTTGGATGAATTGACCACATGTTCAAACTATATGGTTATTTTCTAGCCTGAAAAGATGTCAAAATTTAATGAAGTGGCGGTTTCTTCTGTTAAAGGGAGTTTTTCCTCCCCACTGTCGCCAAGTGTTGCTCAAGGGGGGGTTGTTGGGTTTTCCTCTATCATAATAATAATAGTGAGGTCTAGAACTTACATTGTAAAGTGTCTTGACACAACTATTGTTGTGATTTGGTGCTATACAACTAAAATTGAATTTAATTGAATTATAATAACAGACATAGGACTAAAATGACAACAGCTTTGATCCTGCCCTGCCACAACTGTAGGATGATGGGATAGTGTAGTGTCCATTGCTTCTATACTGTATGTATGTTATGTAGGTCATCCAGGTACTACTTGCATACATATTTTTCCATACTAAGAATTCAGACATACTAATTGTCTCACATATACATTTTAACTTACAGTGCCTTGCGAAAGTATTCAGCCCCCTTGAACTTTGCGACCTTTTGCCACATTTCAGGCTTCAAACATAAAGATATAAAACTGTAATTTTTTGTGAAGAATCAACAACAAGTGGGACACAATCATGAAGTAGAACGAAATTTATTGGATATTTCAAACGTTTTTAACAAATAAAAAACTGAAAAATTGGCCGTGCAAAATTATTCAGCCCCTTTACTTTCAGTGCAGCAAACTCTCTCCAGAAGTTCAGTGAGGATCTCTGAATGATCCAATGTTGACCTAAATGACTAATGATGATAAATAGAATCCACCTGTGTGGAATCAAGTCTCCATATAAATGCACCTGCACTGTGATAGTCTCAGAGGTCCGTTTAAAGCGCAGAGAGCATCATGAAGAACAAGGAACACACCAGGCAGGTCCGAGATACTGTTGTGGAGAAGTTTAAAGCCGGATTTGGATACAAAAAGATTTCCCAAGCTTTAAACATCCCAAGGAGCACTGTGCAAGCGATAATATTGAAATGGAAGGAGTATCAGACCACTGCAAATCTACCAAGACCTGGCCGTCCCTCTAAACTTTCAGCTCATACAAGGAGAAGACTGATCAGAGATGCAGCCAAGAGGCCCATGATCACTCTGGATGAACTGCAGAGATCTACAGCTGAGGTGGGAGACTCTGTCCATAGGACAACAATCAGTCGTATACTGCACAAATCTGGCCTTTATGGAAGAGTGGCAAGAAGAAAGCCATTTCTTAAAGATATCCATAAAAAGTGTCGTTTAAAGTTTGCCACAAGCCACCTGGGAGACACACCAAACATGTGGAAGAAGGTGCTCTGGTCAGATGAAACCAAAATCGAACTTTTTGGCAACAATGCAAAATGTTATGTTTGGCGTAAAAGCAACACAGCTCATCACCCTGAACACACCATCCCCACTGTCAAACATGGTGGTGGCAGCATCATGGTTTGGGCCTGCTTTTCTTCAGCAGGGACAGGGAAGATGGTTAAAATTGATGGGAAGATGGATGGAGCCAAATACAGGACTATTCTGGAAGGAAACCTGATGGAGTCTGCAAAAGACCTGAGACTGGGACGGAGATTTGTCTTCCAACAAGACAATGATTCAAAACATAAAGCAAAATCTACAATGGAATGGTTCACAACTAAACATATCCAGGTGTTAGAATGGTCAAGTCAAAGTCCAGACCTGAATCCAATCGAGAATCTGTGGAAAGAACTGAAAACTGCTGTTCACAAACGCTCTCCATCCAATCTCACTGAGCTCGAGCTGTTTTGCAAGGCGGAATGGGCAAAAATTTCAGTCTCTTGATGTGCAAAACTGATAGAGACATACCCCAAGCGACTTACAGCTGTAATCGCAGCAAAAGGTGGCGCTACAAAGTATTAACTTAAGGGGGCTGAATAATTTTGCACGCCCAATTTTTCAGTTTTTTATTTGTTAAAAACGTTTGAAATATCCAATAAATTTCGTTCCACTTCATGATTGTGTCCCACTTGTTGTTGATTCTTCACAAAAAATTACAGTTTTATATCTTTATGTTTGAAGCCTGAAATGTGGCAAAAGGTCGCAAAGTTCAAGGGGGCTGAATACTTTCGCAAGGCACTGTATGTAATAGGCAAGTAGATCACAACAGAAAACCAGTCATCACTTATTAAAAGATGGTGGTTTTCATGTGAGGGTATTTCACATACCTGTCCAGGGTGTACCCCGCCTTTCGCCCGCAGCTGGCTGGGATTGGCTCCAGCCCCCCGTGACCCCGTTTGGGACTAAGCGGTTTAGAAATGGTATTTCACATACAAAGCCAAAAAAGCCTTGTATTACCACATGGGATTTTGTACTGTAAGTCTACGGCAGCTTCACCCCAGTCTTTAAATTAAGAATTATCTTATTCAAACTGCATGCATTTGGTTTTGCTGTCTTTCTGATTTTAATGGCAATCACATTCTCTAGAATTTAGAAATACTTTTAATGAGAATACATTTTTCACTGCCACAGGTTTCTTGATAATATAACTGATTAATACAGCTTTACACACATGCCTGAGCAGGGAGTGACCACCACATGACCTCAGCTGTTATTTTGCCAGATTCTGAGCAGTGAAATAAAAGTGTGCATACTGCCTTGTTGAAATGAACTAATCTTCAACACATTAGAGGAAAAAGTTTCAGTGCACCAAGCATTTTTTAGGATTTATTGATTTTTGGCTAAACTTTGTACAGTAAATAATTAGAATATACTCTGACTCAGCACAAAGGTTCTGAAAATTTGCAAGTCTCAAACGGACTTTTTTGATTTTGATTTACATGTGACTTTTAGTATTTGAACTATGGCGGTGTCTTGCATTGACCATAAACCCTTGCATGTTCTGCATCATAGTGATGTTTGGCAGGTTTAGAGCTTCTGTTTTTTTCTGACCAATGTAGGCTTTATTCTGTCATGGTTATAACATTCTTTTGGGGTAAACACATTGATGTGAAATAGTTAAATGCTTGAAATTTTTGTTCTATTTCTGCACTTTTTTGACAACTTCCTTCCATGGGGCGTTTGGAACTGGAAAACCTCCTAGGCCCGCCTTCAGTGCGGCTCTAGGGTTGTACTGGCTACATATTTCACATGTTGCAACAAAATACTTTGTGATATCTTTCATTTGTGGGTGCCACCAGTTTTGTGAAATCGAAACATTCATTTTGGAACTTGCACAATGTCCTCTACTGTGTGCCTCTTGACACAGCAGGCTGAGCAGCCCTGCGGGGGCCACTATACGGCCCTCATGATTCCTCCAGAGCCCTGTGGAATCTTGTGTGGCTCCTCTACCAAGCCACGCTTATTTCTCTGTAGGGGCAGCTTTGTCTTGAATTTCTTTTATTGCCTGCAGGCTCAACTCTTCTCCATGTACATGACCACTGTCAGCAGATTTCTGAACCATGTGTTTTGCTCCCAGAGCAGGACCTGTAAGGTACCGATACCGAGCCCCTTGGGCTCCGATCTCGTGGGTCCGAGTACTCGCTTCACTGGGCTCCTTGAGCTCTGACCCTGAAGGTCACCAATACACGTCATGACGGAGCATCCAACGCTCTGATCCCATGGATCCTTCGTACGGAACTTCTCTGAGCTTCCAAAGCTCTGACCCTCTAGGTCCTTCGCACGGAACATCTCTGAGCTTCCAAGGCTCTGACCCTCTAGGTCCTTCGCACGGAACATCTCTGAGCTCCCAAGGCTCTGACCCTGTAGGTCCTTCGTACGGAACATTTCTGAGCTTCCAAAGCTATGACCCTGTAGGTCCTTCGTACGGAACATTTCTGAGCTTCCAAGGCTCTGACCCTGTGGGTCCTTCGTGCGGAACATTTCTGAGCTTTCAAGGCTCTGACCCTGTGGGTCCTTTGTGCGAAACATTTCTGCAGTACTGCTCGGCGGTGAGCCCTCAACGCTCTAACCCCGTAGGCCTTGAATTTCTCTTATTGCTCCTGGAGCTAGCTGATAGCCGGCCACTGCCTTTGCGGCCAAGTTGGCTATATTAGTACCTCTGCTCAGCTGAGTGTCTGTTTTTGATGGCCTTTACACTTAATGATGGCCACCTGTTTGGGTAATCGCACAACTTGGTCTAGTTCGAGTAATTGTTGTAAGTGATTTACCGGACAGCCAGTTGAGGTTACAAAGCCCTTTCTCTTCCAGTAACACAAGTCCACATGCACCGCTTGTACAGCATATGCCGAATCACTGTAAATGTTCACTACTTTGTCCTTTGACAACTTACATGCTTGTATGAGAGCGATGAGCTCGGCCATCTGAGCGGAGCTTGGCTGTGGGATTACATCAGCTTGCAGCACTCTGAAGCCAGCAGTTGTGTTTTCCACCACAGCATATGACGCTATCAAACCACCTGTTTCAGTCTGATGAC